CAGTCTGTTCTGAAATCATACTTATAAAAATGCTGGAGACTTTATTCCCTTGCAGCAGCTACCATTTATTCCTATAACCAAAGTAATGTGCAATTTTGGCATTAATTTCTCAAACACTCTCAACCTGTTTCATTTCTACAGGACTGCAAAAAGCGAATACAGTGTCCCAATTGTAGTTATGTTAGGTTAGATCCCCAGTAAGTGCAACATCAATTCTGAATTGTCGTTAACAATACGTAGATGCTCAAAAGCTTTGCTCAGGTGCTGCTTAAGCTTGGACCTATCTAATGCTTTATGTTCATACTCCTTACATAGCTGAAATTCTGCTTCTTATTAACCTTAAACACACTGACAACGAGGTACTGTTTTTTTTCTTCCTGATAGATGAGAAACACCATTCATCTGATATTTGAGATTGAGGCAGTCAGTGAGAGCACAGAAAAACATGCACATTGATGCTACGTAGAAGAGATTCTTGGTTTGTCAGCCTGTGGGCTGAATAGCAGCAGGTCAATGAGTGAGATTCACATTTCTTACCATCAACATTTCCATGCTACTTAAAGCTGTGGTCCTGAGTTACAATCCACTGACAAAAAGAGAAATCGACTCATGTACCTCGTATCCTAGTTTACTATCATGGTTTTGAGTCATATTGAATAAAAATATTGTAAGCCTTCTGCTTCATGCTACCTATTGCCTCTGTGGGTAAATTTATGTGTCATTATCTCAGATAACCTGGACAAATGTTTCACTGTAAGAAGCAACACTGATTGTTTATTTACTGAAACTAGGCTGAATCTCAACCAATAGCGGTTCTAAAATCCACAAAGTAGCTCACTATTTCTTCTATCCACCTAAAATACTAACTCCTGTTTTTGATCATGCGCTTCAATTAATTTCCCTACTCCTGTCTCTCTCTCCAAGAATTCCTTCCCTCCACGCCTTTCTTCCATGTGAAGTTAGTATTGTCTGACTCAACAGAAAATAAAACAGAGCACACTTCAACGCATTATTTCCATTAGGTTTTGGAGAATTTTCTCAGCACTTTGAAAGCTAGAATTGTGAATCATTAGCAGAGAAGCTGGTTGAATTTAGGGATGCTTTCCACGAACGCAGTTTTAGTTTAGTGTGTTTTCTCTGCATTTCTTTTTTTCCTACAAATGTTTCTTCAGCCATAATATGGAGAGTGAAGCATGTTCTTTTTTTGTGCATGATCTATGAGACAAGTAAGCATGATTCCTTTCATCTTAATGATAGGATCTGATATTATTTACATTTTACGTTAGACTAATTTTTCTGGTTTTATGAAGGTACTGGGAACTGTATTCATTGAATGACTGGGGTTAAAAGTGACGAGTTCAATCTAGTCACAATCATCTAGTTCAATCATAGAATCACCACGGTTGGAAAAGACCTCCAAGATCATCCAGTCCAACTATCCTCCCACCAATTTTTTCCCACTAAAACATGTCCCTTAGAATTAAACAATTCTTGAACACCTCCAGAGACTGTGATGCAACTATCAATCTCTCTGGGCAGCTCATTGCAGCACCTGATTACTCTTACAGTGAATAAATTTTTCCTAATATCCAACCTGGACCTCCCCTGGTGCAACTTGAGCCTATCCCCTTTAGTCCTGTTACTAGTTAGGTGGGAGAAGTAGCTTAACCTCACCTCACCACAACCCCCTTTCATGTAGCTGTGGAGAGTGGTAAGGTCTCCCCTGAACCTCTTATCCAGGCTGAAGATTCCCTCAGTTCCCTCAGCCGCTCCTTATAATGCTTGTGCTCCAGACTCCTCTCCAGCTTCAGTGATTTTGGATGTGCTCCAGGACCTCACTGTCTTCCTTGTAGTGGGGGGCCCAAAACTGAGTATAGTACTCAAGGTGCGTCCTCACCAGAGCTGAGTATTAAGGGACAATCATCTCCGTGCTCCTGCTGGCAACACTATTTCTGATACCAGCCCAGATGCCTTCTCAGCCACTTGGGTCACTGCTGGCTTATTCAGCTGAGCATCAACCAACATCACACCTCCAGGTCCATTTCTTCCACAGAGTCTTCCAGCCACTCAGCTCCAAGCCTGTAGTATTGCATGGGGTTGTTGTGGCCAAGGTGAAGGACCCAGCACTTGGTCTTGTTGAACTTCAACCCATTGGCCTCAGCCCAGATATCCTGCCTGTCCAGATTCCTCTGTAGGGCCTTTCTACCCCCAGGCATATCAGCATTATGACACTTACGTTAACTGTTAGACAAGCTAGATTAAATTTCAACCAGTAAGGATTTTAAAATTCAGAAAGGAAGTAACATCAGTCTTTGTGGACTGATCTGGCAGGGTTCCTTTTGTGAGAAACTGGGGAGGAAGCATACTGCTAAAAAGAAAAGGATTTTCTTGATAATTACTTCTGAATCTTTCTTAATGAAAAATGATGGTGAATTTTTGTCTTGTATTTGCTAAAATAGAATTGTATGTGCTGGGAAACAGTTTAATCTACTGGAGGCAAAAGTGAATTCACTGGTTTGGAAAAGAAATCTAAAATCTAACACGGTCCAATTAAGATGATTTAAAGGTTAAAGAACAAATTTTGTTTGTCCTTCCCAAAAGTAGTATCTGCTAAATGAAGAAATTGCACCCGGGAGTTTGTAAGTTGCAGCTGTGACTGATTTTAAGCAACTCAAGGTACTGAAATGGAGATTACTTCATTTTTTGGATGCTATAAAAATTATATCATCAGCAATGTTCTTGTACTGCGTGTAGAGATGTGGTTCATCAGTCTAAGGGCAACCCTGCAAAGGAAGCTCTTTCTTTTGGGAGTGTGTCTTGCTTTACAGTTAGAGTCTGAGTTTAAATTAAAGCAAGCATAATAAAGAAAGTTTATCTTAATTTTCTGCTGATCATTTAGTAGATGTTCAGTCTTTGATAATACCTTCTTTTGACTTTTTTGGTAATTTCTTTACTGTTCACACGTGGTAATTATTCAGTTGGTTAATGAATTACGATGCTTATGTTATGGTAAAATCTTTCTAGATTAAAAATAGAAATAAAATTAGTTGTTAATTTCATCCAGTGGCAGGTGACGAATATTCCAAAATCAAACTTTAGTCTTAGATGGAATCAACACAGTTCCTGTGTTGCTGAGGTCCCTGTACTTGGGGTCTCTGTTAGAAGTAAAAAATTTATTTTCTTTCTCTTTCATTCTGGAGAGGAGGCTGTTATGCTCAGATTGGGTTCTTTTTTTGGTCCCCTTTGGGCTGGGAAATATTTGAATTCTGTTATGCTAATATGTGTACTTACCTGTTTGCTATCAGAAACTTTATTTTTTATGATTAATTCTGTTAAAAAAAAAAAAAAAAGACAGATATATATTTTTGGATCTGTTCTGTGGATGCTATCTCGAGAGCCTATTCAAATTTTAGTTGTATACTGCTTGGAAATAAATAATTAGCAACTGTCTAAAAAATGCTTCAGATACATAGGTTGCTCCAAAAGTAAAGCCTCCTATTATTACCATGGAAACTACAACATGTAAGAAGAACACAGTAGTACTGTATGATGGAACAAATTCTCAGCTGCAGAATCTGTTTTTCAACATGGCGACCACCATTAGCTCTGCATTTTCGTCAGCGATGAAGAAGATCCCAATTGACCAATTAATCTTTTATGGTGACCCATTAATGCCACTGTTGAAAAACGCACCACCACCTCCTACCTGTGCTCACATCTGTTGTTTGGTCACCATCAATGTCTTGCAAATGTCAATGTGGGTGCCATTTTCTTGACATGGAGGAATTATATTACATCTCTTTTCTTTGTAAGTACTTCCATGTCAGATGCCATTTTGTCAGACTGCTGTCATCTGTTGCATGGCAAGAAAATGTCATGGAATTTTGGTGGGAAGATTCAACCTCTACTGCTGTAGCACCAACATCCACCTTTGAAGTCATGGACCAACATAATAAGATAGGAAGCATTACTTTCAAAGCAGCCAGAACAGTTCAGTTTCTTAGAATGTACTTTCTAATACTGTTATATCTGTGACGTAAATAATCTACTTATTGCTCTACAATGTGCCCATGTATTTCTCCGAAAGAAAGACGTGGATTATATTGGTTATTAATTATTAACTGGATTGATGATGAATTTATACTAAGTTCTTTTATGAGGGAACATTACTCAATGTTCCCTAATAGCCCTCATTATCACATTTATTGTTGATCTGAGTCGTTTTTTATCAAGTGTTCCTTGAGAGTGCATTTGGTTGAGAACACTTAGAAATGATATTGAAAGTTGTTTCTTTGACCTTTTAGGAAGGCACATAACCTTTATCTTAGATAAAACTAAGTCAGAGTCTTATCTGTAAATATTAAATGGTAGGTTAAATACAATTCTATCTCTATAATGTTTATCATTAATAAGTTGTCAGCACTCTTTAGAAATGTATTTCAACGTGTGTTCGTGTTTCTCCTATTTCCAAAACAGAAACATAGTAATCAGTTAAGTCATAAGAATATAAATTGCTTGAGAAGTTACGCATCTGATCTATTTTGTTGCGTTCCCCATCTTCAATTAAAAGAATAATATTCTTCATTTAATCCTATGGCTTTCAACTGTTTTATGTTACTCATTGCTTTAGTTTTTAAGTGCTTGATGGCTCAGGTGAAACTGTCAACCCTCCTAGACAAGAGAATCAGTGCCTTCTTTATCCATTGGTTTAGTCTTCATTTACCAAGGATAACTACTTGCTTAGTAGAGAAATTAAAAGAGCTAACCTTTATTCTGTGCTTTTTTTCTTACTCCTTTCCCCAGACAACTTTATTTCTTCTTATTCTCTATTCTGTTTTTCTTGTTCTCTTACTCTGCATTCTTTATTTAGTAGATAGTACTTTTAAAACTCATTCTATTCCTTAAATTTGTTGCCATTTCACAGCAAGTTTTCCTTGTGACAGATGTGATAGACCTGATCTTTGCTTGACTGAACTTGATTCTTAAAATTGTCTTTGCAGGGTGTGGCACTGCAACAGGAGGAGCTGAAGATGAAGGTGAGGCTGAAGCTGGCTGGATTGAAGGTGCTGCCATCCTGCTGTCTGTTATCTGTGTTGTACTTGTCACTGCCTTTAATGACTGGAGCAAGGAGAAGCAGTTTCGTGGGCTTCAAAGTCGTATTGAGCAGGAACAGAAATTTACTGTTGTCCGAGGTGGGCAGGTGATCCAAATCCCAGTGGCAGAGATAGTAGTTGGTGACATTGCACAGGTGAAATATGGTAAGTTTTCTCAACTATATGACTACTTTTTTTTTCAAGTTTATATATTCCTCTTCCCCCTTTCTAGCAGAATAAAGCATATTTGGGACTCATTCACTGGAACTAATTGAAAAGATAGAACAATCTTTCCGTAGTGTGACAGTAATTACACTGCTGGGGCAAAAGAATAACTCAGCCCAAGAAACTTACAATAAAACTGCACTTGGTAATAAATTTTATTTTTGCAATCTTCACTTTCTTTCCCTGACAAGGCCAAAAACTGTTAATGCAGTGTTAATTTTCTTTCATGGAGGATTAGAGTATTTGGATTTATTTATTTTTTTATTATGTCTAATTATGAATATGAGAAAGTATTTTTAAACACTTTGTTAAGGAATTGTGCCCGTGTGCACACTTGGTAGGCCACTCCAAAACTATGCATCCTGTACTTCTTCCCAGACTGAGTGTTGCTAGTGGGCAGGTGCCTTACAATTATATACTGTACGGACCTCCCCTCCTGCCATCAGGCCTCTCCTGGGCTTAGCTGCAGGCTTCCTGGGAGAGGAAAGGTGTGGGACTTCTTGATTGTCTATTAGCCACTGTTTATTCTTATGAAGTCTGGCTGAGAAACCCTATTGTCAAAAAGACTGTTCCCCTCACTCTGATTATTATGCTCATCATATGTGAAGTGTGATGCACTCTTATTCTCAGGATAGAGTTAAGCTAGAAGTATTTGCCAAATAAGGGCCTTTTCCTATGGCACTGCAGTAATATGGCTAACATGGACCATTATGGTTTTTCTTCTTTCACCTTTGCTTTCATTTTACAATTTAATAAAATTATGGTTTCTTGTAATTGTATAGAAAAAAATATGTAATTATAAAAACACTAAAAAAACTGTGGTTTTCCATTACCATGTTCTTACTAAAAGGTGATCTCCTACCTGCTGATGGGATATTTATTCAAGGAAATGATCTTAAAATTGATGAAAGTTCTTTGACTGGAGAGTCAGACCAGGTCCGCAAATCTGTTGACAAAGATCCAATGCTACTGTCAGGTAAATTTTCTTCAATTCATGCTGAGTTTATCTTTTATGCACTGCTTTGTTCATGTTTGGTTTTGATTTGTTTTTTTCACACCATCAAGGTTTGGTAACCTAGATACAGCTGATCTTTTGAACACAGACACTGACCCTGCCTGTTTTTGATGAGAGACATTCTATTGCTTTTTGATTGCATGCAATTACTTCTGATTGTGGCATTTATTTTATGAATTGAGAAAATAATGAACATTTTTAGATGAAAAATAAAGAAAGCGCTATCCTGGGAAGTAAAAATTGTTTCAATTCACTGTATACCTGCTTCAATTTTACCATTATGTTTTAAAGCCTCTTGAAATGCTTTTTTTTATATTTGTTAGAAATAATAGGAAAAAAAAAAACCATAATTGTGCTTCGAAAAAAAAATGAATACACTAAAATGTTCACATTTATGGTCCATGACAGTTGAGGTTTGTTCATGTTTTTCATAATATTTGCATACTGTAATCCAAATAAATCAGTTAAATAAAATAGTTTTGTTTTTTAATTCTAAATGGATCAGTTGGTAATAGATTTCAGCTGGAATGTGATTACAAAAGAACTGTCTGCTGGTTTCATGATAATATATTGGAATCTGAAATAATATTTTCAACTACATTTGAAGTCATTATTTATGAGAAGACTTCTCTTTCCCATCTGGTTAATGTACTCTCACAAATTCCTGAATGGAATGACATCTTTTTGGATACCCATAGAATTCACTTACTGTGGAAAAAACATAATGGTATTGCTCTGAGAGGCATGAAGGGAAGGAAGAGAAGGGGAAAGTAGTTGAGTTCGGAGAAAATATTTTTTTTCCTGCTTCCAAAAGCTTTTGCTAGGAAGATAGAAGTTTGTTTTTGTGGTTTTATGGCAAAGTTAGAATGTGTACTCTATATAAAATTTCCTTCTCTACTGTAATTACAAAAATGCTGAAGAATTAATGTGATATTTTAACAATAGCTACAGAAACCTTTGTTCCATACTTCTGCTAATGAAATTATACTCGTGCTTTGTTAGAAAATCCTTGAACTCTATTTGCTTATGAGTAGATTTGATTACATGAGATTCTGGCATGCAAAATACCACCTTCTTCTGAGATGTAATTCAAGTTTTAATATCAATGGTACTGGGACTGATACGTGGTCTGGAAATAGCTAAGAAATCAAAAAAGTGGAAGGCTGTCGTGTCACATTTATTTCACAATGAGTTTAAAAACTGAATTCCTGCTGGATGTTAGCACAGTCCCATATTTTAATAAAAAAGAAAATCAAATAAACAAAGAGACAAAAACTTCTGGAAAAAGACCTCAGTTTTTCCTTTTGTCTTTGCTCTTGAGGGCATCGGTGAGCTCACTCCAGCTAGGCTTTTTAATTTAGAAAAAGATGACTGATGCTTTCCACTGTTGTCTGTCAGTCATCTGTTGGAAATGAAAAGAGTTCAGGTTTGACATGTGAACAGCTGAAGGAAGGTGCCATTTGAGTGGCAGCCATAGTTTGTTTCTGTGAGTCTAAATTTGGTGACACATCAACACTGTTTCAGGAAGCATTGTTTTCACTGCTGGCACCTGAAACAAGATTTTTAATATTCTATTGGTTTCAATGACATAATTAAACTGAATGAGTTTCTGTGCTTAATGTCCTGTTTAATATCCAGATAGTCATTTACTATACTTGGGAAACAATTCTAAAAGTGCAAGTGCTGACTAAACCAGATGGTTCATTTCCATCTGTATACAGCTACATTTGGTACCACCTGGTAAGACAGAAATAGCATTATAAACACTAATACACCTGAAAGCAATCCACCGTACTTACGTCTGAAACATTTTCCTCCTTTTAGGTCTCTAATGGAGATTTGCACGCATAGTGTAGCCTAAGTAACTGTATCAACAGTCTTCAGCATTAACAAGGCTGTGATAACATTAAGTTTTTTCACAGTGAGCATGGCTGTGTATCAAGCAAAAGATGAACACTGTCTGACGCGCAACCGCTTTGATTCAAATTGATAGACCCTGGAGTCTGAAATTCAGAGACATCCACGATTCCTATAAACAGAAGTTCTTAATATGAGTCTGGCCTCAGCACTGCACACAGTGAATTATTTCAGAGTACCACGTGGGAATAGTTGACTTATAAAAAACTAGAAGGCTGATTGGTTAGAGCTCCATTGCAGTTATTTAGATGAATTTGATGAAGGTATGAAAGAGTTACAGGGAGGAGCTGACCCATTGTAGTTCTCACTGAAATGAGACTGACAACTTTACGTTACCCTAAGTTTCAGCACTGCATCCTTATATCTAAAAGTTCCTTGTTTCTTTGAAACAAAGAGAAGTCAGCTTATTCAGGAACAAATAAATAAAGAAATCTCTTTGTCATGGTTCTTTGTTAGGGTATGGAAATAGAAAGGAAACTTGATTAAGGAATCGGGTCAGTTATTGCCTGGAGAAAAATGGTTCTGATTCTGTCTTAATTCTTTGCCAGCAAATATTCAAAGCTATGCTTCTGCTTTGCGAAGCACAAGTTTTCAGAACACAGCATCTAACTTAAAACGGATTATTTGGATATGCTGAGATTACATAGAGATGAGTTTTTGCAGTAAACCTTTTTTTTTTGTAGAGAATACTGTGGTGGTTGTTTCACTTTGTTACTAACTTCAGTCACCTCTTAATAATTTCAGCAACTACTGGTTTAGACATGCAGATAGAGAACTTTTGGTCATCATGAGCTTCTTGGAACTAAGCACCAGAGTGGCATGCTCTTCTTTTCTTATTTTTGAACCTGGTTTCTAACCTATGTCATTAGTACTGTTAGATTGGAGGGTTTCTGAGCAGTCATGTATTTAACTGCATTTTTATCTGAAAATGTATGTGCTGCAATGCACCTTCCTTAACTGTGAAACCTAATTATCTCTTTTCTCATATAAGTTTTCTCCTTCATTTTCTATCTATATTAAATGTTTCTCAACTAAAATGTATTAATATTGAAAAGCTGAAGGAAGAATTCCGTGTAATTGTTCCACGTGAAGTTGAAACATGTTTAGTGAACAGAGTAAGTGAAAAACATTCATTCATTGCAGAATTCTGCTCATGTTTCAGCAGCTGATCAATTTCGTAGAGCCCGCATCTCCCTTCAAGCTAATGTGAATGAATTATAGCACCACTTAAATAACAAGGTAGCCAGACTTAGATGAAAGGAGATTCAGCTCTTCTGTTTAGCTGAGGTACTAAATAAATCTGCAACGACACTAACAAACTGTAGTCTTCTGATCAATTAGTATTTAGTACATGCTTTTTTATGTGCCTCGACTTTTTTGAATTATGTTTACAAGAATAAGAAGAGGTTTGCAAGTTTAAGCAAAGCATTTTAGCCTAAGATGTTTAGAGTTTTCCAGCTGTGCATCTGTAAGCTTGGACATTGGTGGTGGGTACCAGTTTTCTCAATGAAGCTGTTTTTCATGCCCAAGCTGTGTTTTTTTTTTTTGTATTCATGCACCTTTGTAATCCAGTATACAAGATTCCTTCAAAACATACATATACAAAAGCAAGTAAAAGATATTTTTAATGATGGCCTTCTGGGAGGTTCTTAAGCTGTAAGTAAACATTCAGGCAATTTTGTCTAGTTTGAACCTGTACAACCAAGCCTATCCTAACTCTCAAGGATATTTACTGTTCCTTTGACTTAAATATGACTTGGGTTTTGTTGTTTGGCTGACTGTGGTTTTGCTCTGCCTTGTGAAAGGGGCAAACTGTACAGTAAAACCATGGAAACATTTTTCAACACACTAAGATGTATATTTTTTTAATTAGATCTGATCAGTAACGGCTTTGTTACTGCTTTTCTTACTTCTGCTGAATTTTTCTTAATGTTGTGATATTTATGCTCTTAAAATAGGCTTAATGTGGACAGGTGTGCTCTCTATTCTGTGTTTCCGCTTTAATTATTTAGAAAAAGAGATTTTGATGACAAATATATAGTTGGATTACTTAGTATGTTGAGGACAACAAATGGATGAGCAGTAATAAAAAATGGATTTTAAGAAAAGGTTATGAGGAGATAATATATATATTAATATTTATCTATTTAATGAAAAATATTCCTTTTTTCAGCTTCTCAGATTGCTCAGTGAAAGAAAGCTGTGTTGATGAGGCTCCATCCCATAAAATGCTTTTTCAAGAAAAGGACGTAGAACAAATCTTTCCATGTCCATTTAGGCTGATTAGATGTGAATGACCAGTAAGATTCTCCATCAGAAATCAGTAATGTTCTGTAATTGCTCAGTCAGCAGATGCATCACTCAGCTGGTTAAAATCCGTTCTGTGGTAGTTTACAATAAGCCTGTTTGAGAATTCTTCTTTGTCTCACTATGGTTTCAGGCTCTCTCTCTTTTTTTTTTTAATACTTTTTAGTAATTGGCTTTAAGTGCATGTCATAACAGTACATCATTCTGACTTCCAAGCTTTTTTTTTTTTTAATACCCAGTGTTGTAGGTCTTTCCCAAGATGCTAGATCAAAATACTCATGACTGTTTCTAGGAAGTTTTAGTTTGCTTGTGTCCCCACAACTCATAACTCATAGCAGAAGTTTTCTAAGAGGCTCCTAACATTTGCTTGAGTAAAACCTGTAGATTAGCACTTTCAGTACAATTAAATATGCATTGTCTCTTGAAAGGAATGCATAACATATTTAATGGCTCTTATATATATGTACACCTATGCGTGTGTGTATTAAAATATGTGTGTATGTAAATATGTGTGTACATATACATATATATAAAATGCTTATATTCCATAATTTCAGGTACTCACGTCATGGAAGGCTCTGGACGAATGCTTGTAACTGCTGTGGGTGTGAATTCTCAGACGGGCATCATCTTTACTCTGTTAGGTGCTGGAGGAGAAGAAGAAGAAAAGAAAGACAAAAAAGGTAGATTTCTCAACACATACAAATGTTCTTAATAAGAAAGCTTTTTTTTTTTTTTTTTAATAGCCAGAAATCTCCTCAATTCTTGACCAAAATAAGTAAATAAATAAACAACCAACAAATCAGTCAAAGAAAAAAGTCCCACCAACAAACAAGCAAAAAAGATTCTACAAACTTTTTTGTACCCATTTTTGTCATTGCATGTCACATGGAAAAACAGCAAAAGCCGTTACCCAATAACATGTATTGGATAACAAGATGTTTTTCCATTGTGAGATTGCAGACTCTCAGTATATAATTAAATGCAAGGGAATACATGGGCATACTCCCACTGTCATATCTTTTTACATAAATCAATAGTCACCTAAAATTTGCAAAGGTTTTGCTCCCTTGCATTTGCATCTATGGAAGGGGCAACTTCAGTATCTGCTTGAATGTAACAATTGCCTGCCCCGAGGTCCTTTGTGTGTTTTATTTTGCTCAAGACACTGATAATTCTCCAGTGTTTCACTGTGTATACCCTAGTGAAAGAGAAATCTGAGATAGCAAAGTAATGCAATGCTCAGTGCTCGTCACTTATTTCCTAGAGACAGAGATTCTTGCAGAGATGTGTAAGATCTTTCTAAGCAGACAATCCAACTGCATACAGCTGCAATACCAAGAACATTCCTTCTCATTTTGTAGTGTTACTAGCAGATTTGTGCTGGTGCAGGAGAGTATCTACACAAAGGTGTTTGCTGATTGAGCCCCAACTTAGGTATATAAACCTGCCATTCACTAAAATCCTACCAGTCCTAACAATTTGCTTCAGTCTCATGGGGGTGTATGTTTTTATTGTTATTAACGTTTTGTAAAAATCATCATACAGGTGTGAAACAGGAGGATGGAAATCAGCTTCCAGGTAGAGTAAGCATTCTGCCACATCAGATGAGGCTTTTAGCCAGCAAGCTTTGGTGCAAATCAGGGTTGAATGAATGATCAAAATAACTGTCTTTTAATTGGTCCAGTTAAATTAAAGAACAATTTCAAATCAACAGGATTGTTCATGGCAAACACTTATGTGTGCACGCATTATTGGTGTTGCAAATCTTAATGTTAAGCTTGAATACTCAGTTAATCTCCACAAGTAAATTACTGTTTATGAAATGCTGAAATGCGTGATTTGCTATTAGCAGTTCGTGCTGTGCCGGTTAGTATGAGTATCCAAATGGAATAAAAAATAAGCATGAGCAACCAAAACAGTGTTGTTATCATCAGTCATCATTTGCAATCGAAATTATCAACTTTCAAATTTCAAACTGCTTACACAGGATGTGCTTCTAAATCCCGTATGCTGTTCATTTTCTTCTCTCAACTTACCATTTGTAAATTAAAACGATTTTTCTTGAACGACAAACCGGTACAGCACGAAACAGTCATTATGTTTCGTTCAAGACTCCTGGCCTGGTCTCATCAGAGGACTTGTGTGTGGTTGGTTAACAACTGGCCAACAGAAACAACTAGAACTTTATTATTTACAGAGATTCATCTTCTGTACTCTAGTAGAAAGTCCACAGTAAAATAATAGAAAGGAATCACTTTCCCATCCATGTGTTGCTTGTGCAGTTTCTCTAATATGGAGATAATTGCTGAAAACAAAATGAGGACTTCATGTTCTGTTACTTTTTTCATTTTACCTCAAAACTGGCAATTACAGACTGCCTATCATTTGAATTTAAAACAACACGTTATTCTCCACGAAGCTGTACTTTCCAAGAGCCTGTATTTCTTCTACGTTTCTGCATATAGTATGGAAAACTTAGTATTTCTGCTCAAATCAGTGTATGTTTTTACTAGGTGATGACAGGACAAGGATTGGGCCAGCCCATGTGAAACTAGGCTGTGCCAGCAGTAATGTACTGAAGCATGCAGTGTTACATCAAATACAAGATCTGTCATGTTGCATATACTATGTAGTATGCTGCACGTTTTAAAAATCCTGATGCATCCCATAAGTTCATCTACTCAAGGGAAATGTTTCAACCATTTTTAATATCTGCAGATCTTTTATAGATTAAGTAAAAAATTCACATCGAGGACCATACACAGTGTTATGTGTAGTCAGTTCTCACCAACTGTCAAGCTTGTGAAATGTCCTCCTTGTTTATTTAGTAATTACTGTTCTTTTATGTATGAGTTTTTTCTTTTCTTTATTGATGTTTTGCTTTTGTCAATTAAGTTGATTAATTTAAAACATTGATTTTGGAGAAAACAATGCCACAGTATTTCATAAATGTTTTTGCTTTTGTCATGTGCATTTGTTATTATTATTTATTGTTTTTTTGTTTGTTTGTTTTTTGTTGTTTGTTTTTATCCATTATTATTCAGTAGATTCTTCCCATCCCTCCTCCCACCCTCCTTCAGCTACAGATGGTGCAGCAAGTGCAAATGCCACTGATAATGCAAATGCCAGCTTAGTCAATGGTACGTCAAGAACACCTAGCTTGTTTTATTTGATAGATCTCTCTTCCAACTATATAAGATTCCCTCTTTCCTCTATGAACTGCACAGTTGTTTTATGTGTGTCATTACCCTCTGAATGCTCCTATTCCATAAACTCTACAGTAGCTTATAAGAGATGCCACAAAGATGCTATGAATGAGTTATTTCATTCACCTGGAATTAAGCATGGAAGTTGAACAAATAGGAACTGTGATCTCTTTGCTGTTGATTAAAATTGCATTTAAAATCTTCAGTTTAACAAAGACTAGTTTCAAAACTTCTGAGTTGCCTGTACATAAAGTTTCATTGTAAAACTCGTTACGCATTGATCAGCACAGAGCTGAAGAACACCATGATGAAGGGACTTTGTCATCTTTTCTTCTGATGTGGCACTCTCATAAGTGTTCATAAAGTCCTCACGTAGTTTTGAGAAATAATGTTGGGGTCAGGAAGCTGGCTCAATCTCAATTTGCGGTGTTTTCATTTAAAAAATTGCTGTTGTCAGCATCTTTTCGAGAAGAGGCTGACTGAAATGGGATTGTGTGGGTATTTGTGCATGCTCTTAGTCTGTGACTGTGAGCCAGTCTGCACTGATTAAATATATATATATGTAGTTCAATTTTGACTGTCTCTTACTACAGCTTCTTGACCCCATTTGTAGCATGCAGGTGTTTCAGTCTTTTCTAATACTTTAATGGCAGTATTAAATGGAATGGGTCAGTTAGTCTAGAACACTAGTCTTAGGACAGCTGTATTTTTTCTGTTCATAAAGTACGTTTAGTCTTTACTAAACTAAAGAGCCCTTTCCCTCTGGTAGAGCATCAACTACACTGACAAGCGCCATTTTATTTTTTTGTCATGTTCATAACTGAAATTTTTCCTTTATAGGTCAGTAGTTGTTGCATTATGCATGTAAAGCTAGTTTCTGACATAGCAAGTTCTGAAGAGTTAGTAAGATAAACTAGTGGAATAACTTGACAAAATCAGAAAAGATATTAAACCTGCCTACAAGTCCCATCCCTCTCTTATCCCTAAACCATCCTAGTTCCAACATCCCAATTTCAGGTTTCTTAGAGACTAAGAACCAGGAAATTAATGAGGACTCTCTCATTTTCCTTTATTTATAATTCTCGCACACTTTTTTTGTGTGCAAAACAAATACACCCACAGAACCAAGTCTTACCAGATTACCTCCTTCTGTCTCCCTGGAGACTGCAGAATTATATTTAGTCTCAGGCCTGCTGTGGCTGAGCACTAAGTTAAGCATTTGCCTAAGTGTTTTGCTGGAAAACCATTGCTCACTGAACTGAAGAAATTAATCTTGATTTATTCTAACCTAGTCTCTCCATTAGCACAATTTAATTGCCTGGCAAATATCTCTTGTGTTTGATCTTAATGTCTGAACTTAATATTGAAATTGAGTGTCAAAGGATATTAAATCAGTGCTTTAAAGCAAGTATCTATGGGACCTTCTATCTCCTCTCCCATTAGAAACAATAGTTACTATCCCTGTTTATCTTAAAGCTATCATTAGACAAAGAAACTCAGTGCTTTTCAGTGGTAAGTGTTGAAGTCAGTAATTCAGCAGAGTATGTTTCTGCTTTTAACTTTTCTAATGTGAGGCAGTTGGATTAATTCTGCAGAACTTTGATCAATATGAGAGAAGAAACTTTCTATAAATCAACTTTTCTGATAGTATGTTCAGAAGAGAGCTGAGACTGCAAACACAGTTGAATGTGAGTGCTTTGAAATTCCCTGGGAAATTGCCCTAGTCTGGTTTCTGTTAATATTATGCATTTTTCTATTCAGCAGTGATGATGAGTTAGAGAACACTTAAGAGGTACATGGTAGCTCTGAAAGAAAAGCCTCCTATTTATTTCCATGGAAACTACAAAAGATACAAAGTGCATACAAATACTAGTTGATGGAGCAAATTCTCAGTTACAAAACACCGTTTTTCAGCACAGTGACCACCATTAGCTCAGCATTTTCACCAGTGATGGTCAGCATGTCTGCATGACGTGCCATGCACATAAAAAACTACACCAGCCAAGATGACGCACTGTTCCTGTCCCCACTGCTGACACACACCACCCACCACTTAGCTGTGCTCACATTCACTGCTTGGTCTCCATGAATGTTCATCAGTTATGAGTGAATGTCAAAGGGTGCATTTTTTCCACATGGAAGAATTCAGTTCCACTCCTTTGCTTTGTAAGTACTTCATGTCAGACACCATTCTGTCAGGCTGCCTCTCTGCTGCCATCTGTTGCACAGCGACAAAATGTCACAGAAGATAGGTGGGAAGGTTCAACTTCTTCTGCCATCCCACCAACATCTGCCTCTAACATCATGGGCCAACATAATAAAACAGGAGGCATTACTTTCAGAGCAGCTCTCATAGCTGTGTTTCTGCAGGGTTTGGAGAGAAGAAAGAAAGGAAAGAATTAAATTCTAACAGAAGGAGATCAACTTGTAACCATTTTTCCAGCCTAGATTAAACTAAACTTTCAATAATGTCTAAGGATTTTCGCTGAGGTATAACTGGAAATGAACAGTTTTACCCAACAGCTTATACCTCTGTGTAGAACACACCTCCAAGGAACAAAAAACCATCATATACCTGAATAAGTACTTAGCACCGGAAATGCCATTACTTGTTAGTTGAAAATCAACTTGTCACAATTTAAAATAAATTGGTTTATATCCTACTTACAAATACACGGTTGGCCCAGAAAAAATGCTTTTTATGCGCAGTCCCTGAACTTACAGTGATGAAGCTGTATAGGCTTCTGACATGTGCTAATGTTGGCCTCCTGCTGTTGTGAAGGAACTGCTACACATTCTGTAGAGTTCTGGCACTTGAAATAAAAATGTATAATTGTTAGTTAGTCTTATTAGTTAATATATAAATATGCATATATCCACAAAATATACTCAGTTCTCACAAGGATACAAATTTACAGAATGGTCACAATTCATGAAAATTCCTTGGAATTTATAGTACTGTGTTTAGAAAATATAAAATATGTATTTTTTTAAATATGGGAAGCAGCAACCTCAGTTTGTTTATTGCATGGTTATCCCAAATTAGGTTGGATTGGAGAAAGCAGTGTTGATCACTGGCTGCTTTATTCCTAGATCCCTCTGCATAAAAGTATCTAAAATATCCAACTTGAGACAATGGGATCAGGTTTATTCCTTTGTAGTTAATCTCATTGGCTCATATCACACTTCATGAAAGAATTCCTAATCTTTCACTCGACATGTTTGACGTCACATTTCCCCCTATATATAGATCTGCAATGCACATCTGTTCTTATGAGTTGCATAATATAACTGAGTTGGCATTAGGAGAGCTGCAGCTCATTTCTGTTGCACGAGGAGACATTTTGGAAAATCAGTAGGGTAGCTTCTTTTTTCACTCCACCACAGCACAGCAGAATAAAACTAGATTAGCTTCTCTGGGTGTTTTCAAGCAGTTCCTCCAATGAACAAGTAACTTCTAATGCCAGCAGTAGGAGTTTATTACTTTGTCTCACTGATTCCTCCTTTCTTAAGGGCTGTAGAAGTGAAAGGGGAGTTTTTCTTTGCTGAGGTTACTGTTTTTAGAGTAAGAACTCTGGCAGTAATAACATCATGGGTATGTTCCAAGTAAAGAGATGGAAATGTTCATGAGGTAAAGGCAAAATGCAAAAAAACATTCTATATTTAAATGCGAAGCCTTTAACAGAATACAAATCTTAAGAGGCTCTGTAAGTCTTTTCTCAACATTCTGATTTTTCGTCTTTGCATGGAAAATAAACTCTGAGTAATTGCCCCAGATTTCAGGGCACACTGTCCCCAAAGAGGGGGAGAAGTTTCAGTGGTATGTTAAGAACTGTTAAGAGGAATTTTATATTAAGAATTGTAAATCTTTATGTATCCTTTTCTTTTTGTAAACAGTGCACCCACATCAGGTAATATCTCTAGTCCTAACACAAGCTGAAAGGAGAAGGATTTCTCATCAGTACTGATTCTGTCACATTGATTTCTTACTTTCTTCTTAAGATTTGTCAATTGCAGACTTAGGATTCAATAAATTACAGGGAATGCTTGGAACCAAACCACTTATTTCCCTTTACTCTATTATTTTCTTTACCTAATTGTCTAATTCTTCGCTGATCTATCTAAATAATTTGAATTCAACTAGCTTTAATAACTCACTTTACTCCCCATAGCAGTCCCTGAAATATTAACTGAAGTGCAGCACAGTAGCTGCAGAGGTTTAGAGTATTTTTCTTAAATAGGTGTGTTTACATTGTTGGTTACGAAAGACCGGTTTTGTGTCCTTGTATTTTCAGGTAGCCAGGATAGATACATTGTTAGTGTAATTCATTATGATAATGATTTCACCTCTATTAAACGGCAAATATAGACAATAGCAAAATACTGATTCACATAGAAAACAGTATTTGTATTTTTTTAGTTGAAGAATCTTTAATTGTACTGCTTGAATTATTTGAATTGTATTCAGAAAAATGAACAATAAAGCAGAGCACAGAGCAGGAAAAACACAGGCAGATTTAGAATTCAGCCACACGTTGTGGGTGCTTTTTTTTTGTTGGTTTTTTTTATACTGCAGTTTTCAGATGAACTGACAAATTTTTGTTGTATTTCAAAATGAAAACAAACTTTTTTTTGCTCATAGTCATAGGTTCATGTCTTATGACAAGATGTAAGTCTTTGGGAGAAGGGTATAGTTTGTTTTTTAAAATCATATTTCATCCAAGCTGAGAACGGAGATAAAAGCAGGCATGCTAAACAGCATACTTTAGTAATCCTAGTGAATACTTAGAGCACTGTATTTAGCAAAACATCCTTTCCTTTACAATCATTCTATACTTTGCAATTTCTGAGTGATTGCAGCCTCATGCTACTAAGTATGAAGTGAAATGTCACAGTAATACATTTTCAGCTTTTTCAGCCATTTTTGCTCTTTTTAAGAGTTGAATTTTTAGTGATTTTCCAATTACTGAAAATGCAAACATGTAAGAAATGCATCTTAGCCTTTCAGAGTTGCTTCTGTGCTTTCACAGCATAGCGTGAAAAGATTAATACATGCTGAAGCATAATTTCTGCTGCTTTATTATGCATGCTGGTATCAGCTCTGTAATCACAAGGAGGCAGAAGAGCAGAACTTAGCTGCTGTATTATTATTGTTTTTTCACAAACTCTTATGATACTTTTCTTAGCAGAATGTGTCAAAATCCCGTGAAGATATTTTGACTATTGTTTTTCCTTAGTGTTATTTTTCTATTTAGAATGATAACTAACTACAACGTGATGATGCCATCCATTCAGGACATTTGTAGTTTATTCCATGAGATTAATTTTTTTTTATCACTGTGAAAGTTTCACAATGTACCTCAACAATAAATTTTAAATACTCTTTGTTTACCAGTTATTCTGAAAAGCAGTTTCCTGTGCTCTAACTGGTACTATGCCATTTTTATTTCAAAGGCAATTTGATATGGTGTATTACAAATGATGGGTTTGATATGGCAAGACTAAATGTAGCTAAATCATTACACTGGAAATTACAAATATATTTTACATCTTTGTTTAGAATAGATCAGGAAATAGGATCATCACCTGACGTTCATATTTACAGGAGCAACTTGCTAAATATCATGGCAAAAATAAGAAAGATGTCATTTTACAGTTTAATATATTTGTATTTATTAACAGCTTAGTTATTTGTTGTCTTAATTTGCCAAAATAATTCATTTAATTTTGGTGGATGTTAATTAAGTCACGCTATGTACTGGTGTTTGCCAATTTTTTACCTGTGGTTTTACTGAGTTGTAGATGTCTGAGATTTCAGTTCAGGAGTATTATTGAACTTCTGCATTCTACTGAATTCTTTTTATTAGTTTCATCTTCATTACTTACACAATTTGTTTGTAAAAAGTAATGATATTTAGTATTTTCTGTTATACCATTGAACTTGACTTGCAGATGCTTAATGTATCCACCTTATGTCATCCATGCTTCTAAGGAAACATATAACAAAGGCTACTGATCATAAATTAGTATCTGTAACACTGTCATTAACTTTGTCTGCCCTTTTTATTTTAATTTCCATTTTCATGTTGTCTTGGGTGAAGATTGTTTACTGTCTGTTGTCTGTTGAAATTTTTCATCATATAGGCAAAATGCAGGATGGGAATATGGAGAACAGCCAGAACAAAGGTAATCTTCTTTCCTATTAAGAAGGTTGTGGATGTCATGTTTAGCATGTAGTTAGATGCTGTTGAAAAATAAAATCTGTGGTTTCTGCACAAGTGTACAAATGGCCCTACCAAAGAAATTGTAATTTATAGAATTTTGATGTATCAGATTCTTAGGAGAGGAAGATATCATTATATAAGATACTTTCATGTCTCAAAGCTTGTTTGAATTCATTTTCGTGTGCAAATTATTTATGCTATGTATCATTAGTGAGTTTCCAACCCTCTTTTTGGTATGTCTTGTTGACTTTGGTGTTTAATGGTGTTGTATAGACATTTTTATTTGTGGGGAGAAGATAAAATAATAGCAAAAGGAAATGTAATGCCTTGGGTTATTCAGCAGTGTAAAAGTGTGCTATATTGATGAGGAAGATTAAGAACATTAGGTGTTTCTTATTTACTGTACAATCTCAGGAAGACATGGAAGTAAATATTTTACCTCTGAAGCAAAGCTATAGTTCCATTTTTATTAGACAGGAGACACCAGATATCATGATTTCTTTAGATTATGCTAAATAAGGAATTTAAACTACACCATTTTATTCTTTTTGGAAAATTCTAAACTTAGCAAAGTTAATGGATCAAAAACAGAGCAGCTGAACTCAGTTGTTAGTTGTACAGAAGTATTAAATAAAGTCATATTAAATGTGTATGGTTTAAGGTTCGACAGACCAGTTACATTTCCAGGTCAAATAAGCAAAATTTTCTAAAAACTGTTCATGAATGCCAAACCAGAGCAGATCTGTTTCATCTCATTCTGTTTAATTTGCTTTCCTTTCTGTACCAGACATATACACATATATAAATTATGGAGTGTCACTGCTTTTAAAAAGCGTCTATTTCTTTCTGATACTAAATTGAAGTTTCCTTGTATCAGCGTTAGCATTCTTTCAAGAAAGGATGCTTTAGCCTTCAAAGTTATAGTTTTGTTTTTTACCGCAGAATGACGATGGTATTGCTGTCTGACTTGAAGGTCAGATCAGGCAATCTGATAATGAATGCTAAGGAAACTTTTATTTAAGTTTGGTATTATTCTAGAATAGTGGTTCACAAATTATGGTCCACTGGTCACTGAGATGCCCATGGAGTTGAGCAGCAGGTGTATGGATCATCCCTGCAACCACACTGCCTTTAAAATGGTTTAATTAACACCAAGATTATAAGTCTGCATTGTAGTCTATGAGATATACCAAAATTTAGAAAATTATAGACAGTCAACTTGCCAAAATATTTGAGATCTGCTATTCTAGGAAATCCTGCAGTGCTGATGTACTGTTTCTTGCCAAGTGTTGCAAAACATTAAGTGATATATATGTGTATGATACAGAATATTGTTGGTGGTAAACAAACAAACCAACCCAGAATTAGAGGTTTTCATGGTACTTGACAAATGGTGCATTACATACATATTCCCTTGTGTGAAGTGCATGTGGGTAAACTTGTACATTTGTGTCCCTCTGGAACCCCACTGGGTCCTCACCTGGGCATCTGTCTGCTGTGGGAGCAGAGGGTAATCCTGTGCAAAGTTATATTCATCAGCTCCAACGAGTGCTGCTAGTTTAATTCAGTGTCAACACTACAAGAAAAAGAATGGAAGACAGTTCTGAAGTAACAGTTTTGTTCTGCGTTATTAGCCAAGCAGCAAGATGGGGCTGCTGCCATGGAGATGCAGCCACTGAAGAGTGCCGAGGGGGGAGAAGGAGATGACAAAGACAAGAAGAAATCCAACATGCACAAGAAGGAAAAATCTGTCCTACAGGGAAAGCTGACCAAGCTGGCAGTCCAGATAGGCAAAGCAGGTACGATGGGATAATTGACTGAATAGCAGAATATTATTACTAAGCACTAAGAGCTTATAAACAAATAATTCTAAACAGAGTAGTGCCTTATTAGTGCAACATTTAGAAATGGGCTGTCATAGTATGGTTCTGAAGATAGTAGGTGGTACTGAAGACCTTTCATTTTCTAAAGCCCAGTTTTTACAATCAAGAAACAGAAAGCTTTGGGCAACTTGGATTGTAATGAATATATGAAGCAAAATGAAATGCAGCTTAGTTGATATTCCCAAATGCAATAATTACATTATATTAATTTCCTCTTCCCTTCCAAGTACATAGTTATAGAATCTCTAATATAATCTGAAAATGTCACTCTCACAGTATTTCCCACTTATGGATTCTGAAATTATTCTATTTATTATCTCGTGACTTCCATGTTCACACCTTCTATGCAAATATGATGTATCTGTTGGCTATTCTGTCCAATACCACCTGATCCATGCTGTTAAAAGTGGCACTTCTCCAACAGTGCAGGTAGAAAGTTTAGGTCTTTCAAAATGATGTAATGCTTGCTAACTATTTTTTTCTAGTGGTATTAAAGAGGTCTCAGACTCTACCCAGATACATGGCTGTGCTCCTACAGCAGATTCCTATCTTCACTTCCATTGAACATCCTTATCCTTCTTTCCCAGTCTGATTTTTATCCCTCCTATTCCTTCTAAATCCTTTTTAGTTTATTTTACTTTTTTTGATGGCAGAAAACCATGACACCACTTCTGTCTTTTTTTTCATGGACAGTATATGGCTCGTAATTTACAATTATCTCTCTTTAGTATTCACTTTCATGGTTTGCCCACTTTCATATTCCTCAGGCTTCTCTTGTTTTGTTGCTGGCTATATAGCAATACACACTGATATGAAACCTCATAATTTCTTGTGTTTATTAACTTCTTAAATTACATATTTTTCAACAGTAAGTACTTTTTCTACATCTCTTTTGTAATTTTCAAGTAATTGTATACATCTTTCTAACAGTAATGTGGCAAGTAATATGAATTAAATTAATTATGATCTCTTTAGTCTTATTTTTCCTTCTACACCAGGCAATCTATGGGAATGTCTTGAGTTGTCATAAAGATTTCCCTATATAATGTTTTAGTGGATTTTTCTTTATCCTCTGATATTAAGTGGTGGTCTCCCTGAGTCATCAAAATCCTGTCAACTTTAAAATCCTTTTACTTATTTTTTTATTTATTTGTCTGTCTATCACTTCAGTCAAGACATGGAATTCACTGTATCATCCTTTTTTTCCATGATCTCATTAGGGAGAAATTAATTTACTCTGAAAAACAGGCTTACCCTCTTCATCAGAGAATGTCAAAGATTAATAACAACAAGGTTAAGTAGGTGTTCCAAAGGAAACCAGTTTTTGTTTGTCACTTTAATCCAGGAGCAAATCTGTGCACGAGAAATGCTGTCTTACCACAGTCTGTATGAGAGCACATTTGTGCCCAGCCAGGATCTTCTGTGACTGCAGTGAAATACTTCTTAATCTCTCTTGTGGAATGCTGTCAGTGTTGTATGCCTTTGAGCCTCTCCTCACAGAAGTATGCACTATTTGCGTAGATTCCTTTGTAAGAAAAACTTTGGGAACACTAGTATTAGTAAAATTTACAAGAAGACCAATTAAATAACTGTTCAGTGGACAATTCTGCAATGTTACTTCATTGTATTCAACTGGACGCCTGTCTGAAATATTCTAGATAACAGCAAATTATAGGAAGAGGCTCCTTTTCTTAAGCCTCTTAAGGTAAACATATTTAAAAAGAAAGATGAGCAACTGATGTTTGAATATGTACAGAATAGTGATGTACTAAACCTGAAAAACTTGGGTTAAACAACAGCACAACTTTAGACCGCCTGGTAAGTTTTGAGGGCAGCAATGTGACAGTGCTTAGAAATTACTGTAGCAGCAGCTAGCTGCTCTGTGGAATGGAGTACCTCCCTCTTCATTAGAATGTATGGATGGTTCTTGTAAACTTACTATAATAATGGTTTTTGCTGCAAATGTATCATAGTAATTTTTTCTTCATTATTTGTACTGGTGGCAATGTAAACTCTTATGAAGAGTGAAAATAATTTTACATTAAACTCAAATATAAAGTTCTAATTAAACTCAAATATAAAGTTCTAATTGCACATATTTGTAATTTTTACTTTGTAGTAATTGCATATTTCTATTTACAGGTTTGGTGATGTCTGCCATCACTGTAATCATTTTGGTACTATATTTTGCCATTGACACTTTTGTGGTGAAAAAGAAACAGTGGTTACCCGAGTGCACTCCTGTCTATGTTCAGTATTTTGTTAAATTCTTCATTATTGGTGTTACTGTACTTGTGGTTGCTGTCCCTGAGGGTCTTCCACTTGCTGTCACTATTTCTTTGGCTTATTCTGTAAAGGTAAGAAACATTCAAAATAATTATAGGAGAAAAATAGCTTTCTGTCGAGTTTGCTAGTGTGTTATTCTTCAGCTTTTGTCAGGTTTGATTGAAGTTGGCCTGTAAATTAATGTCATTAAAATGATAAGGAGAAATTTCTTTAAAGTACTGCTTTGAAAGTACTTCTGAAAAAACAAAAAAAATGCGTTTGTATGCTAACTCAAGTCTTTTAAACTTCACAGTTTTCAAACAACAGAAATCCCTGCTTAGTTAACAAAGTTACCAGGAATTTATTGAGCAGGGCTTACTTTTAAGAGTAGTGTAGGCTTGTAATATAAGTTTGTCTTCAGACTTGCTTTTGCAATAGTAAAAAGTTTCGACAAGGATTTCAAGTTTTCAGGATTCTTTTTTCGAAGGAAGTAGAATTCTTCTTCAATGCAGTTACAGTGGTTTTTAGCCAATGCAAATGATTCTGTCACAAAATCAAAGAATGATGGGCCTTACATAAACATTCTAGCAATCCCAGGTGAAAACTCTGTGATTTGTTTCCATTTAGCGGGTAAATAACATGAACATTATGAAGAAATACCTTGATTTACAGGTAGTCAGATCTTACTAGGGAAAAAAAGAGCAGATCTCAGCCACGTGATTTTGCCAGTAAGGAGCCTAACTGCTTTAAAAATATTTTTCCATTCTCCTGATGGCCTTCACACAGTGCATGCAGCACATCCATCCCTGTGTGGCTATGGGTGCAGTATCAAACAGTTATACATCTTGGCTTCAGCTGGTGACACTGTGTCCTGTGAGCATAAGGTATTGCTCTGAAAGTTAGGGTCAGGTGATTGGACACAGAGGTTTTTAATATTGAAAAAGTTTGAGTAAGGGCAACTTATAACCCCAGGAAGACTGCCCATCTTGTGAAAAATATGCAGTATGGAATGGTGGTGGATTTTTTAAGTCATTGGTGATTATTTTAGTTTGATTGGGTTGCAAGGTGTGCAGTCACTCTGTGTGCTGTAGGGTGACACTGGTATTGGAAATGTTATTAAATAAAGGCTAAAAAGTTCGACTAAACATTACAAGGTTAAAATATAGAAATATGAATAGTTTACAGGATAGCTTCTCAATCATATTCTGTGCATGTACAGTTGTTGAATTACTAGGTAACCTTATTTATGCTACTAAGTATTCCTGATTGATCTCTAGATTTAGGACTTTAGCTGTAAGAAGCAAAGCAAACCAAAAGGAAGTGTATAAAACTGCCCGGTTTCTTATGTTTGCTATAGTTATACTGTTTTTAAAATCCTATTGTTTTCAGTATTTCCAGTACTTCAGCTGATCTTTGCTGTTCTGCCTGCTCCTTAAAATATTTATCCATGATAAAAGGATAGAACTATTTCATTTGATAAAAAAAAACAAAACTATTTCAGGGATGGTCAGGGCTTGATCGATTTACATAGTAAATACAGTACTAATTACTGGACACAAAATTCTGATTGAGCTTCTAGTGAATAAGATTTATACTTTTTCCTTTGTATGACTGATGTTTGAGATTTATCAAAGCAAATCTTGGAGTTACTTTTTTTTTTTTCCCTCAGAAAATGATGAAAGATAACAACCTGGTCCGCCACTTAGATGCCTGTGAAACTATGGGTAATGCTACAGCCATATGCTCTGACAAAACAGGGACACTAACAACCAACCGGATGACAGTCGTCCAAGCCTATATTGGTGATGTGCACTACAAAGAGATCCCTGACCCTGATTCTGTACCTGCTAAGACTCTCGAATTACTGGTTAATGCAATTGCTATCAACAGTGCTTACACTACAAAAATTCTGGTGAGTAGTTTGTTGTGTTTTTTTTTTTCCCAGTGGTAAAATGAAACATGGTAGAAGGAGTCATAACTTGTGAAAGCATTATTAATTCCTTAACATCCTGCATGAATTGTTAAATGCTGTTAATTCCTCAAAATGAGAGCAGAGGTTGTGAAAATACTTACGTGGGCTTCTTTTTTTGTGAACAGGGTTGCACTTGTACATACAAGACCATGCTATATTTACAATGTTTTACTGCCAACAGATTGGGATGGTCCAACCTGTGTGCTGGTTTCTTTACTCATAAAATGAGTTTTCACTGAGGCTTCCTATCTGTAAAATTACTTTCATCTGAAATCTTCCATTAATTCTTCAGTAAGACAAGTGAGATTGGTTTTATCAGTGAATAGTCCTTGTTGTTACATTTTCAAGTGAATTATGACTCCAAATGTTCTATTTACTCACTGAAGGAGGACATAATGGAAAAATCTGGTGGCTTGTGCCATGGACTTTTCTGTATATGGCTAGTAAGAGACTGAAAACTTTTGCAATCTCAGTAGATTTTTTCTTTGAAAGGTCAAACTTAGTATCAGACCAAATATCTTCTTAGCTTGTGAGTTTATGCATTGTCCTTTTCATAGATCAATAATGAGCTGAGCTGCATCATGTATGCACCTCATAATATTTTAAAAGTAGGGTTTTTTTAAGCACAATCACAAAAAAACAATTGTTGGAATACTGTGAGGCACCCACTGCTCTGTTCTCACTGAAGGCTCTCTGGAAATAGAGCAGGTATGAGCTACTTTCTACACTGAGAGGACATGAAGCCTTCAGTAGCTCAAATAGGTACTGTTTGTTCCTTCCTTGCAACTGAAATCAGCCCTTAATGAACACAGCTCTTCTGTTGCTCTACAAGGACAAGCAGCTGTAATAGACAACTGAGGTCAGAGCTACTCCTTTTGACTTGAAGTTCAGATACTCTGGAAGTGCAGAGCTCACTCAGCTACATACCATTTTCAGCTGTAAGAATCCAAAATAGCAGCATCAGTTCTCACCTGAATTCTGGATCTCATTCTGTCTTTTATGATCTGTCCAGATCCACACCAAACAGGTTAGCCAAAATGAAAACGGGCCTGCCTTCCTTTCTTAGGTGGTTCAGTGTAAAAGCTACATAGATATTTTATGGCAGTGGCTTTTAGAAATCTAATTTACACAAATTGAAAATTAGCAGGAATGTTTTGCTGTTAATGAGCATGCTTTCATAGATCAGTGTAACGTTTCATTTTTGGAAACAGGAACATATATCTTAGTTATGTTAATATGGTTATAGCCCCTGTAAGTCTAGGTGCTTCCTCCTGCAGGAATTGAAATGGAACCAAACTCTGCCACACACACTGGAATTAAAAAATGGAAATAAGAGACAAATAGGAACGAAGGGCAATAGGTCAATATGGACATTGGTGTTTGTATAACTGCTAATTGCCAGTATCAGTTCTAGCTGTCACTGTGGAGTTCAGCTGTGGTAGGGATTTGAGAGAACGTTACCAGCACTGGCAGAACTTGTTCATTTCTGAGATGAGGTGGCACAGAACAGCAGACTGCTAGTTCAGGTAGGTGCAGCTGGCAGAGCAAGACTTAATGTCAGCTGTGACTCAGTTGTTCAGCATTTTGCTGTTTGTTTTGAATGCTTGAAACCAAACACAGAAATGAGGAGTCTGTGTTCACCTTCCTGCTGGTTCAGACTCTCATCTGAATTTTTAGCTTTCTGGATGAGATGTGGGAAGATATTACACCACTTTCCAAAGGCTCGCATGTATAACATATACGTTTAATAACCTCTGTCTTATGGCAGCTGTTTCATTTAACAGAAACATTCCTGGTTAATAGTAGTTGTTGTGATCTCACCATTGGTGTTGTTTTACATTTTCTTTCCTGTTAGCTAGACTCATTCCTTCTCACTGAAAAGACTGTTGTGTGCTTGTTAGGAGTCAGCGTTCCACTACTGCAGTTATTTTATGCCTTTGCACGGATCAATTCTATTCAAAATTAATAGATGCAGCCATTTATTCTCTGGAAATCACAGGATGCTCTGGAATACTGGAACATAACTGTATAAAATTAGTGGTTATTTTTTAACAGCATTATAAGGTCAAACCTTGAAGCGTGGACCCCAGGAGAATACTCCAGTATCAGAGGAGGTGGTTGTTACAGCAAGCTTAAGCTAAAGTTTATGATAGAAAATACTGTTTCAAAGCCCTTACTCACTACAGTTTATAAATAAATACAGAAAAAAATACAGAGGGGAGTCGGATAAAGGGTGCAGTTGTTTTTCTAACTGTTAATACTGAACACATGCTTTTGCACTCATTCTCAGAATGTAGTTATAGAATGGTGATTATCAGCTCAGACCCAAAGGGTGTATGAGAAAATGTCGTAACAACTGAATTTTAGATATGATGACATATTTTACATACATTATTAGTGATCCAGTTATGTGTACACTGTACATGCTCATTGTGTGAACTTCTGTTCAGAGTGATCACATATAGGACCTATGTTATCTGCTGAGTGAGCAATGTTTCATCTTCCATTATCTTTTGATTAAGAGGCAACTGAACCATTGATAAAAATATAAAAAGAAAATAATACCGCTGCTTGGAAGAAAAGATTTGAGGTTCCCTGAGAAATTAAAAAGAAGTTATTCTAACCAAACAACTGCAAAGTTATATATAATTCTTTTCAGTGCTTCTCAAGGATTAAAGTATTCTCTGAGCTGTTTTTGCATTCTGTTAGTCTTTGAGCATCTTCAGTGCTGCTCTTATGCTGTTTATGTGAAGATGTTTTCCAGAAAGCCTGTTTTTCCCCAGTATTACAGTTTTATGTAGCTTTACCTACCAAAAATATAAATTAGACTTAATTTTTTGGAGGTAAGCTGTGACAAAGGTTGTGAAGCACCTCTTAGTCTGAAAACAAAATTTCCATTTTGGGAATCACTCAATTTCACTTGGTTTGAAAGCACAGTGACCTTGAATATCAGGGAGCAATACTGAAATACAGACTCCTTATGGCAAAAGTAGTGATTTAAGCTTTTGCATGCATAAATACAGTTCTAGAAAAGTATGAGCTGCTCCGAAAGTAATGCCTCCTATTTTATTATGTTGGTTCATGATGACAGGGGCAAATGTTGGGAGTAAAGCAGTATTCCATTACAGTTTGTTGCCATAAGAGAAATGGCAGCAAAGGGCACTCTGACAAAATGGCGTCTGACATGGAAGTACATACGAAGCAAAAAAGTGTCAATGAATTCTTCCGTTCAGAAAAAAATAGCACTCATTGGTATTCACTGACATTTGGCTGAACATTTATGGAGACCAAACAGTGGATGTGAGCTCAGTGAGGCAGCAGGTGGTGCATTTCAGCAACGGCAGTGGCGACAGTGGGTCATCTCTGCTGCTGCAGATTTTGGTGAGTGTGGCACGCAGGCTTTTTCTTGTTCATCTTTGGCACAAATGCAGAGCTCATGGTGATGACTATGTTGAAAACCACATTTTGTAGTTGAGAATTAGCACTATCAGACTGTTACTGGGTTCTTTGTAGATTTTAAAGTTTTTGTGGAAATAAATAGGAAGCTTTACTTTCAGAGCATTATTTTCTTTATTCTTTATGATTTATTTTTCTTCTAATTTCCTCAAATCTGTCAGAGGGCAAAGATTACATGCTTGCTGGACAACTATAATGTGTTCTTACTAAAAAATGGTCATGTCTCACATTTAGTCGTGGGATTTTCAGTACGAATGGACTTGCCTGAACCAGTCATTGTCATGATTTAACACAGGCATTTCAATGGGTACTTGATAGATGCCTGAGGAGCAAAAAAAAGAGAGCTACTTATGCTTGTATTAGGTGAATATCTGCACTGTGAGGGCTGTTTTCAGTTCTGAGGATCTGGAGCATCATTTACTGCATTTGTATGGTGTGCAGCATAGTGTATTGACATCCTTTTTCTGACGCTGTTGAAGGAAAAAGATGTCACAGAAAAGTGCAGAACATTCACTGCCTTCCACAGCTTACAAAATGAAGTAAATGCTTACCTGTGGATAAATACTAGCTAATGAATGTGCCCTTGTACAGCTTTTTGGACAATAATGGCTTTATTGGATAAAACAAAGGTGGTGAATTAAGAAAATAACAATTGCTGTCAGAACAAAGAAAGCAATGTATTTCCTGTTTATTGTAAAGCACAAAACCACACGCTTATGACACTGACACGTCTCTAAAAAAATAGTGAAGTTTGCCAAGGTTGCCAGCACCTGAACTGCCACTACATTCTGACTACAGCCCCAGATGAGACTCTTCACAGTACACTCTTACAGGTCTGTACTCACAAGGCTGTAGGTTTGAAAACCGGACATACTCCCAGCAAGGAGCAAACAGGAGTTTCCCACAAACTTCCCAGAGAAGGGGATCTGTCAATGGGAGAATGATGCTGAGGATGCAGGGTGGTGTGCAGCATAGCCACAGGATGGGACTGCAACACAGATTCAGCCACTTGTATTTACCAGGAGAAAAAGGGAGGTGTTAATTCACCTTATTGCCTTTTGTAATTACTTTTTCATGCATATATAATGAAAGGTCGTATGAAAATAAGTGAACTAAATCCCTAATGTCATACTGAAAGCAGTTCAAGAGACTTTGGCACAGGATTTCATTGTTAAGGATAAAGAGTTCTTTTAACTAATTGTCTGATGCAGAAATACTGGAATGAATACAATTCATACTTTCTTGGAGAAAAGAGGTGGAGGGAGGCTGACAGAACAAGTCGGTAACCCATAATATGACAGCCAACAGAAGAAACTGCACTCTACAGTACTGAAATTGTAGAAGTAGAGGAGAATAAGGTTCTAGCACAATAGCTGCTTCACATGAATAAATGAGCTTCTACAGTGGGGACTGACAGCACAGATGTAGAGGCAGTGGAAGGGTTCTTTTCATCTGTGAGGAATGTATCTGCATCCAAAAGTAGG